AACTGACCCAACGAGGGGGAAACGCGGTTTGCAAAGGCAGTGAAGGAGGAGGAGACTGGAAGCGGTTTTATTTCCCGTTTGCAACAATTTCTTTAGAATACTTGGGTGCCTTTCCTGGGTATAACACCACACTTTTAAACCCTGCTGCTTCTATGGAGAAAAGAGCTCTAAATACGTTCATAGAAACTTTGTGCCACTGCTGCCTGTGTGTTTAAGCAGGTTAATGATTTGATTATATTTGTATGCCACAGCGGTTCGGCTGTGCTGTGTTTACATATATTTTAGGGAAGAGCTTGTTTACTTTCCAGCTGGAACAGATGTCTCTGCAGATGGATCCTGCTCGTTTATCTCCTTTTTATTTTCTTGTTTAATTTCTAGTAGTGATGTCAGGTTGTTTCCTGAACCCTTTCTGAAGTCTTAAGGCGGCAGCAGTGACAAGAGAGAATTAATTCATTTATGGACTTGGTTGTGCCTGCGCTGTGCGGAGGTGATGTGTTCCTCTGGTTGGTCTTTCTGTTGGCACAGTGGTAATATGTGAATGTAGGCGATGCTGTTGGAGAAGGGAAGTGGCATAAGAGGTTTCAAAATACAGAAATGGGGCTGTAAAATGATTCTTGAACCTGTTAATAACACTAAAATGGAAGGCACTGGCGTTACAGTCTTGTGTATTTTTTAAGCCTTATTCCTCTGAACAGAGAATCATAGAATGTTTTGGGTTGGAAGGGACCCCTAGAGGTCATCTAGTCCAACCCCCCTGCAGTGAGCAGGGACACCGCTAGCTAGATCGGAGCAACCATTCAATCCACGCAGTGTACTTCGTGGTTGAGTAGGGATTGGTGCTGCTTGGTTGATGAGATTGCTAATTTATTTTTTTTTGCTTGTGTCACCGATTTTTATTTATTTTTTTTTGTCTTCTGTATTTCTTGATGGAGAAACGCAATCGTTCTGGTTTTGCAGTATTCCCTGGCTGTTCCGCAGTAGTGTATGTGCTGCTGTAATGCACGTTGCCCTTGTCATACCCAAACAGGGCTCTGGAAAATAGCCAGCGCGCATCGCGGCAATCGCACGCTCCCTTTCTTAAGGCTAGAAACGTAACTTTGCACCTCCGAAATATTTCTGCAGTTTCTCTTGGTGCAGGATAAAGTTAAAATAAGACCTAGATTCAATGTTAATAAAGCCAAATGTTATCATTGGCAAGGAACTGGGTAACTTACAGAGAAATAGGTAAGACTTTATTCCCTGAGGTGCACAATTCACCTTGTTCTGCTAAAGTGGCCGGCATCTTGCCAGACAACCGAGATATTTTTAAATGATGGCTCTGAACCTCTCCCATTAACAAAATCATGATTCCAATAAAGCAGAAATGTAATAAAGTAGTCACTTCCAAGGTATGTTTGCATATTGGGTTAATTTAGAGTCGGGTTTGACATAGGGAAGCCAGAAAGGGATTTGTGCCGTGAACCTCTTCTGGCCCTTACTACAGGACCCTTGTAAGACGGTAAATTATTCGTGCTGTAAGCCTTCCCCAGACTGGCTGAACACTGGAGGCCAAGTCTGATATCTGCTTGTTCATGGACAATTTCATTTTCTTCTATCGGATAATATCTTAGATTGTTAATTACAGCAGCCCCAAGTGAAAGCTGGGCTTTGCAGCCATAGGTGTGTTTTTTTTTTTTTATTAAAAATAGCCCCCTAAGGTGAAAGTCCCTAAGCTATTTGCATTGGAGACATCAACAGAGAAACTTGAAAACTTGGTTTAGAATTAAAGGAAGGCAAACTGTCCGTGTGAAATAGGAGAATATGGAATTTATTTCCCCCATAGATTTATTTTCTTACCATTAATGAGTACAAATGCACGTTTAATTTCTAGAAAAGTAATGTCATCTACGTGATGGAGGAACTGGAAGCAATGTCAGGTAAGCACAGTTGCATCTGTCACGCAGCAAGAATGCTCACGGGGGAACCTGGTTTCCAGAGATAGCCGTTTGAAATCAAAGTTACCAGCATATAGCGTCAGAGCAAATTCATCACAGGCAGTAGGAAAATAAAACATCGTGAGCCGGGGTGAAATTCAACCCGGGCTTCAATGGGTTTCAGCGCTCTCTTGCGCTGTAGAGCGACAACTCTAAAATACCTCCCCACAGATCGAAAGGTAGCCCGAGTACAGAGCATTCCCCT